AGAGATCAGAGTATGTGGCAAATACAATTCGTCGCATCATAGATTTCCTCAACATATGATGATCGCTCCTCGTGGAACTCGTCCCTAGAAGGGGGGGTAATGTCATGGCCATAATCATGTAAGCTAATAATTACATATAAAAATAGGTAGAAGTAAGTAAAAGTAGGTAAAAGTAAGTTAATTCTATAATATTTAATATAGAAGCTTCCTAGAAATTTTTTAGATGCTGCTTTGACTTCATAGGTGTCTTTAATTGACTTTTTGGATTAGAAACGTGGTCAACGAGTTGGCCATGTGCCACACATGTTGTTAGCTTGAAGATCAAGCTAACTATGTAGCCCTTATGTAGAAAAACTTGTCTTGTAAGTCAAGGAATGTGCCCTACAAAGTCAACACATATTGGAGGTCCTATAGAACGTCGCCACGTAGCCCCTAGTTAGAGAGTATATATAGAGACAAGAGTGAAGGCTTCTTCACTCTTGTCAACTCCTTTCTTGCTTCTAGTCTGTTTCAAGGGTCTCTAGTTTTCTTGTCTTTTGGCAATAGCCATTCCAGTTTCTCTTTCAATATACATACTTGTTTATTTATATTTTGTTACCTTTATATGTGTGAAGGATCACTTATCTGAATTATTTTTTCATCGAGTTCTTGTCCTTGACACCTTGCCATTGTCTTCATGGACTTCTTCAGCCATTACCTATTCCAAAACAACCATGGTCTTTCAATTCTATGGATTTTATCATGGATCTTCAAGTTTGTATGATTCTATATTTATGGTAGTAGATCATTTTATCAAGATGGCACATTTTATACCATATATAAAATCTGCCATAAGTGAAGAAACAGCTAAATTTTTTCTTGATAACATCTATCGCTATTACGGATTATCTAAAGATATTATATCAGATAGAAGGATTCAATTTATATTAAGATTTTGAAAAAACCATTTTAAGATTTTAAAGATAGATATAAGGCTCTCTTCATCTTTTCAGCCTCAAACTCATAGATAAACGGAATGGGTGAATCAAGTTTTAAAGCAGTACTTGAGGTGTATCATCAACTATTATCAAGATGATTGAACAACTTTTTTACCATTAGTAAAGTTTATATATTATAATTTGATATATTTTTTTATTCAATAAACATCTTTCTTTGCCAATTATAATTATTATCCATAATTTGATACTTTTGACTTTTAAAAAGTTGATAATCTTGTAGCATAAGATTTGACAAATTATTTTTCAAAGCTATTGTAAAAATAAAGGCACAGTTAAAGAGAGCTGAAGAATGACAAAAGATTAATGTAGATGCCTATTGCAAAGAACAACTATAATTTAACATAAGTAATAAGGTATAGTTACTTCAACACAATATCAAGACTATTCATCTTTGTAGTTGGACTACCATAGACTTGAACCTTTTCTTATTAGTAATAAATCAATCTTGTTGCTTATCAATTATATTTACTAGAGTCTATAAAGATCCATCTTGTATTTCATATACCTTATTTTTAGCCATATAAAATACTGAATATTTTAGAAAGAAGACAAATACCACCTCTCTATATAAAAATTAATAATAATCAAGAGTTCAAAGTAGAAGAAGTCTTAGATTTAAGGTTGCGCCAAAATAGGTTAAAATATCTTGTTTATTGGCATGGATATAATATTAGTGAACACATATAGAAGCCAACAAAGAATCTTGTAAATTTAGCAAAGAGAATTGAAGCTTTTCATCAATGATATCCATCAAAATCAAGATAAAAAATAGCAAATCTTTGCCATAAAAGAAACAAGATAAAAGGAAGATAATATTCTATCTTCTATCTTTCTTTGTAGCTTTTGCATATTTATAATATTAAAGAGATAGAAAACTAACAACCAACAGATCCAACTTAAGAACATTCATTTATTGACTTATTAGATAAGATATTATAATTGTCACAACTTACAAGATGATATAACCAAGATAAAGATCTTCAAGAACAACATGTACTTGCTTGAATAGATGGTAAGATACAATGTATTTGATATCATAACCTTGAAAGAGAGTCTTGAAGTTTGGTGATTTTATTAGACGTAGGAACAACTCTTGATGGTATTTCAAATGTTTTATTTGAAGAAAATTATGAAGGCATCAATGACAATTAAATAATAAGATGGTCTTCTTGTCCTAGTATAAAACATTATCAATAGTTGAGAGGAACTATCAACCATCTTCAAAAAGAAGAAAGATTAGAGTATGTGGTAAATATTATTTGCCTTATCTTGAATTTCCTCAACATATGAAGACTACTCTTTATGAAACTCATCCTTAGAACAGAGGGTAATATCAAGGATATACATACATATTTTAATAAATATCTTTATGATTAGATAGAAATAGGTAAAAATACATAAAAATAAATTAATTTCATAATACCTTCTAAAGAAGCTTCGTAAAAACTTTATAGTCACTACTTTGACTTAACATATGTTTGTAGTTGATTGATAGGCTAAAAACTTGATCAACAAATTAACCACATATTAGTAGTATGTAGAACAAGCTAACTATGTAGCATACATATAAAAAAACTTGTCTTATAAGTTAAGATACGTATCTTATAAAGTCAATACGTTTTGGATGTCATATCGGACATTGTTATATAGCTCCTATGTAAGAATATATATAGAGGCAAGAGTGAAGCCTTCTTCACTCTTGTCAATGCCTTTCTAATCTTTAGTCTTGGATTAAGACTTTCTAGTCTTCTTATTTTTGGAAATAATCATTCTAGTTCAATATTACATCATCTTTGAGTGACTTTCTAGTTCTTTTCAATGATACAAGAATGTATTGAAGATTTCTTTCTTTGAGATTGATGTCCTTAACACCATCATAATATGTAATGACATGGTATGAGTGGTATTGCTACCAGTACAACTAACAATAAGCACATTATTATGATTAACTAACCATATAACTCTTAGTCATAAGTTTTTGATGTTCCTAAATAAGTCTAGTTACAACATTAAACAAAAATTTTGTTCTTATAGTCAATGGTACCTCACTTAAAAGATTTATGTTTCATTCATTCAAGTAACTTCTATCAAATATGGTAATAGTTTTAGCTACAAACTTTTTTTGCAACTTAGCCAAATCTTTTTTGATTGAAGGCTTTGTAATTACTTGAGCTATCTCTGAAGATAGCATAGACACTTTGCCTTCCAACATTTTATCAATAGTTAAAACTTGCTAATTTAAATTGTAGAGTTGACAAATCAAAAGTGGAGAATATAAATATCTTCAAACTAGTAGATAAACAAAATGAATGAATTAAGTTTTAAAGCAATATCTTAAGCACTATCAATTACCATCAAGATTATTGGATAATTCTTTTTTTGTTAGCAAAGTTTACCTATAATAATACAACACATTCGTCTACTTAACAATCACTGTTCTTTACAAATTATGGTTATCATCTATAATTTAATATTTTTTATTTCACAAAAATTGATAATCTTACTACAAAAGATTTAACAAAATATTTATTAGAAATACATGCAATAATAAAAGTACAATTAAAGAGGGCTCAAAAATGACATAACATCAATGCATATATTTATTGCAAAAAATAATCTCAATTTTAAGTTGGTGATAAAATATGATTTTTTTATTATAACATAAAGACTAGTGGTCCTTGTGACAAGTTAAATTATCATAAACTTAGACCATTTCCTAATTGTGAATACATCAATCTAATTGCATATCAATTACATTTATTAAAATATATAAAGTTCTATCATGTGTTTTATATGTTTTTTTTTAGCCATATAAGATAATAAATATATCAAAAAGAAAATAGTTGCTATGTTTTCATATAAATAATAATCAAAAACTTGAAATGAAAGAGATCTTAAACTCAAGACAAATATCTTACATATTGGCGTGGATATGATATTGGTAAACATACTTGGGTGTTATCTAAGAATCTTATAAACAACAAAGAAGGTCAATGCTTTTCATTGACAACATTTATTTAAAAGATATGAAGATCTTAGTTATAAAGCAAAGAAGATTCAATAAATATTGCATTCTATCTTCTATTTTTGTTTGTAGTTTTTTTATACTTATGATGCTAAATAGATAGAGAATCAACAACCAACAAATTTAATAATAAAACTATTAATTATTGAGTTATTCGATGAGACATTGTAATTATCACATCTTTTAAGATAACTTAATAGAAATAAATACTATCAAAAAAGACATATTTCTCTTTAAATAGATGGCAAGATACAAAGTATTTAGTGTCACAACCTTAGAAGAGACTTCTAATGTTTAATGATACTATTGGAACCATTATAAGTTAGTCTATTTTACTTTATTGCAAACTATTGTATATGCACATTGTGTTTTTTAAATTTTAAATTAAAATATTAAATAACCTTTATAATTTTATAGTATTATAATAAATAAAAATATAAAAATATTTTATAGAAATAAAGAATTTTCAAAATAAACTAATTTGGAAATACTACCTATTCAATGAAATCTTTGACATAAGTTTTTTTTAAAGGCTTAAGTAAAGATTTGCAACCATACAAAACAAATTGGAGTCTTATGCTATCTTCTACTTATATCATTGAGAAGCATTTGAAAATGTAGATGGGAGATAATATGGAAACGTATAGATGTGATGTTAAAAATGATATTGAAAATTGTAATTATATGTATATAATTCTAATGAAAGAGTGATTTTGATATGGGGGGGACATGATGAGGCAACGTCGATGCACAAGGAGGGTGCGGGTATAGGCGACACCAGGACAGGTGGGGGGGCCTAAGAGCGTGAGAGGTTGTGATAAGTTGAGGGGCCATGGGGGTTGGCTGTGGGGACCCAAGCCCCGGGGGCTGCCCTATGGGAGCGCACCTTATCTTTCTCTCGCCAATGCCCGCCGCCCGTTCCCGTCCCCGCCCTTCTACACTCAATCCGACCCTGTGTCATCCCCCCCGCGTGTGCGGCCTCATGGCCCCTCGCCTACACTGTCTGTGGCACCCACACTCCGGACCCGTATCGATATTGCCTAGCCACGCTCCCATCTTCCTTCCTCACCTGCGCAGATTTATCGATCCCTCACCCCAATCGCAGTAGCGATCGCAGCAGAGATGGCAGCTCTCGCAGCTACTTCCGCGGCTTCCATCGCTCTCGCTATCCCTCAGGCCTCGTCCGGGGCTTCCACTTCTAGGAGCGTCAACCTCCGCCTCTCTGGTATCCAGGTATGGGTCTGGCTGTGAGATCATCGGCTGCGAGGGTGTACTGCAGCTGGATTCATGTTTCAAGAGGGTTTATATGTTTTTAAGGTGTGTGTATACTGGCTGTGTGGGATCACGGGGATTGTTGCTGCTGGATTGTTTGTGAATCTGGGTGGTGCATTTCGATGATGGGATTCATGCTATGGGTGGAACAGGGTCAGAAGCTCGCCGCTGTATGCAATGGCTCCCGCGTCGTGGCCAAGGCTGCAGGAGCTGCCCCCGACGCCACTGCTGAGGCGCCCAAGGGTTTCACCCCCCCGACCTTGAACGCTGATACCCCTGCCCCCATTTTTGGTGGTAGCACTGGGGGCCTTCTTCGCAAGGCTCAGGTCGAGGAGTTCTATGTCATCACCTGGGAATCACCGAAGGAGCAGATTTTCGAGATGCCCACCGGTCAGTTAGCGCATCCCTATTATTCTTGAGAGTCACATATTTTTCTATGTAACACATGCAGCCTTCAGTAGTTAAATTACGGGATAGGCCCTACAGGGAACATTATGTAAATATGGCAAGGTGTCGTATGGGTGACGACTTATTCATTGGGCAGTTCATTCAGAATGAGGCAATCGATTCCTCTGGTGCATTGAGGGAATAGAGTATTCGTTAAGAGCAGTGTCATAGGGTAGTACATTTGCGAGAACTGCAGTGATGCTGGGAAATGGACACTGTTGCACTCGTAGTTCCAGCTACTGACACTTACTCCGCGCAGGTGGGGCTGCCATAATGAGGTCCGGACCCAACCTGTTAAAACTGGCCAGGAAGGAGCAATGCCTTGCGTTGGGCGCTAGGTTGAGGACCAAGTTCAAAATCCAGTACCAGTTCTATCGTGTCTTCCCCAATGGCGAGGTGCAGTACCTCCACCCCAAGGACGGAGTCTACCCAGAGAAGGTGAACGCTGGAAGAACAGCTGTGGGAGTCAACAACAGGAGCATTGGGCAGAACGCCAACCCCGCCGAGCTTAAGTTCGCCCACAAACAAGCCTATGATTTGTAGACATTACATCTATTTGTATATCATGATGAAGTGTGTGTTGTAAGCCAAAATTCCCTGCTTTTATCTAAAAGCATCGCAATGCGTTGATGATAGATGTTGTGTGAGAGATGATGGATCTAAAAATAAATTCCGGAGAAACTGGAATCTGGCATCATTGGAATCTGAGTTTGTGTAACACTCGCAATATGTAGTTTGAAGGACATATTGTCCGTTTAACCCTAATCGGATGTGACATCCTACATGGCGGGTTACCTTAACTGTGGAATCAGTTTGGAAGTAAGAAATACTAAATCACTTGAAACAGTGCGGTACTGACTGTTCGTTGTCGTGAACTACGTAGCAGGTACTCTATAAGCGTCACGTTACAACACTGATAATCAGTCCGAACACCGGAAGGGTATATGTCTTGCACATACATCGTCACCTTTCCGAAGAGAACTTCAAAGCACGGTAGAGCAATTGAGTATTGTTCTTCATCTATTGAAATCATATCACCAATCGGGCCCGTACAGATCATTTTTACAAAAGCATACACCTGTTCTGACCACTTTCCAAACTATTTTTTGTGCCATCTGCCACTGACAGACACCCCTTGGAAAGACCCTATGAACAATACGTCACCTTCTCAACATACACATTCTCCACTTGAAAACCAATATTTGTCCCATACATTAACACACTCTTTATTCTGAACAATTCCATTCCATCGATAATACACACCAATTTTGACGCATACACACATGACACTACCAGACATTGGAAGAAACCGCCTGCAACATTACCGGTACCAATTGCGGCGTTGCCACTGTGATAAATTCAAGTCACAATTTCTACTTTCACAACTCCGTTATAACATTGGACATGTCGTTTCTTAATCATGACAGATGAACTGTGAACCAAATCTTACTGATACTGTGGATTACATTATGTTCATACATCCTCCGATAACGACGTTTCCAGTCATCACTTTCTCCGTTTAATTACAGAAAAAAGAACTTTTAAAAGCATGAACAATTCGACAGTCCTTGTATTAAGCGATTCTTTTACACTGCGAATCTTGCCTGCGGCTGAAAATTTGGAGAATTACTGCTGCACATCTATCCATCTCATAAAAACGTACAAATATATCTAAATCAGACAAGTCCAATGATCGTACAGAGCGTAAGGTATTACGTAATAACCTGGAAATCTCCCGACTTCTTCCGCTTCATTAAACATGTTTAATATTCCAAAAACACTCAGTTTACATGCTTCCAACCCAACCCACTACAATCCTACCGAACGGTACCAGTAAGAGAAGCTAAAATTTCGCACCACCTTCAACAAAACAAACACGAAACATACATTTTCGTTGCCCAACTGGAGAACTGGTGAGAAGGTATTTTATTTGAACATAATCGTATCTTGTCAATGATGTGGCCAAAAAACTCAGTGAAGTCTCGATCAATACAAGTGGCTACCTCTTTTCCCGTAAAAAGAAAAGAATAAGAGAAGGGGGAAAAAAAAAGGTGGGAAATTACAAAGGGTGATATCCTAAGCGAGAATATACCGAAAGGGGGAGCATTTGAAGGGGGAAGGTGGAACGATTTTACAGGCTTACGTCTGCGTCAAGTGGACTCTCGCTCTCTCTCTCGTGAGGTGAGTTCTGTTCTCCAAAATGTTTCTAGATATCTACTGTCCCAATGAAAGAGTGTAACCCATGTACCTGTATTTTAACCATAAAAAGACATAAAAAGTATAATCCACAACGAGTTTCACTACCACGTACAGCAACGCGGTGATTTTAAAAGGTTACTCCACAACACCCGAGTCTTCACTGATGGTCCAGTCTTCAGGGGGGTCCGTTCTCCTCGAACAGGTCCAACAGCTCCACAGCCTGCCATAACACAAGTACCACGAACTAACAATATCAAGCCAGGAGCCTTTTCTGTTCTTCTTTTCCCTCCCTCTGCACTGAACTACTTTTTACATTTGAAAAATGTATGGCTGCATTCATCAGAACCGTACCATTTGTCAGAAGTCATGACTGAAATGAGAGGTCTTCTGACACATGCTACCAAGTTACACCTAGTGCAAACTTATTTTCTCAAAAATATACTAGAGGTTTAAGGAACTACCTCTGGAACAGAGAGTTGGAGACGGAATTTGGGTCCATCATAGTGATGCAGCACCGGCCTGAACGAATCCTCTTCTAAAGGCTTACACTGCTTGCGAATGCGAGTCCGCACCTAGAAAAATGAGTGCGGGTTAGCAATGAATCGGTCAGTGTTCTAGCAGGACCTAAATTTAGCTTGAACAGCGACACAATATTCAACAACGTCGTGGTTTGAGAGCCAACCTGGGCAGGAAATCTTGACTCTCCCCGACATTTCTTGTCTTCCCAGGCGGTTGGATCTATGTTAGAGCCTCCAAAACTTGCTGCCTGTCATACAGAATGTAAACACCATACATGAGAACCTACGTCTGAAGCAAGTCCTTGACACCACCCACAGGTCAGAGGACGTCCAAGTAGGTCCTCCTTGCATCTAGTTCGATGTATCCAACCCTTCCCGAGTCTAAAAACTACTCTGGAACATGTCTCATTGATAAGGAATCTAAATTAATGCTGGGATCCATTATAGTCCGCCAAAATTACGGAATACCAACTAAGTCGAAAGAAGCAAGAGATTGTGCTGATAGTGAACCAGCCAGTACATTCACGAGGAATAAGCTCAGACAACTTACCTCAAAAATTCCATGAAGCTGGTGGGTAGTATAATTGTACAGAAAAAGAGGAAGCCCTGGTTGAATAGTGCGTACAGAATCTCGATATCGTTGTGGTAATCCTGATCAACAAAAAAAAAAAATCTCTTGATCACTTACCAAATGAGCTTAGTTAAAACGTTTGATTTCTCGCCTAATAGGACGGATACAGGACCACAGAAATGCAATTTTGATTATGACCTTCACAAGAGCCATAGATGAATTCGTGCTACTTGTCATTCTCTAGTAAGATCTGAAGTGAAAAATCAGATGACAGTAAAAACGTACCGAAAAGTTGGCGTTTAAGGTCCTCCTGCATGGTGTCGTTATTGCAGACGAATATGTAACCCCCCAATGTGACATTTCGAGGAAGGACTTCAGCTGACGGCAGTGATTTAAAACGCTTCTCATGATTAGCGGAAACCTGGAATTGGGTATTACCATTGGACACAACAGTCTTGGCTGCCGTTGGGCCAGGCATGTTGCCCTCGCCAGAGAGTTGCTGCTTCTGCTCAGAAGAAAATTGCTTGGATTCGGTGGCCTGGGATCCTTTGAGATCCCCTCCTGCAGGTTGTTGTTGCTGCTTAGAGCCCCGACGACCCTCACCTACGGTCCGTTTGAATTCCTTGATGGCACCCGGTGGGATAGATTGCCGCTCAAGAATCCCCACCTGAGGCTGCTGCCGATCATAGTAAGGTGCAGCCGCTGCGGCCAGGCTCCAGTTCTGGTCAGTGGGGGGGAGGGACCAGCTATGGTTCGCGGAACTGGTCACCCAATTCCGCTCCTTAGTAGTATCGCCGGAACCCCCAATTCCGTCCCAAAGCCACAATGAATACTGGCTCGCCAGCGGTCCTGTGTGAGTTAACCCCGCAATCTTGTCGGATTTGGGGGCACAAAGCCGTCCACAACTACAATAAAATTTGGTGCCACAAAAGGTAACTGTTCCACTCGGTTTCGGATCGCGATGTTCCTTTCAGATCAAAACGGGGTATTTCTAAAGTAACAATGATTAAGCAGAGGCAATTAAAAGTGATGTGCTACGACAGTTCTTGAGTCAGGAGAACTACCCGACCTTCGTTATTACCTCAAAGGCTTGTTGGCTTTCTCGCACTGTATTTTCAACAACCGAGAAACCTCTGAAAACTCTAAAACTTGTGTATGCAGGGACACTAATTAGTGGCCCTTGATGGAAAAATTAAGCTATGTCTCTCTTAAGAATATATGGCCCAAACCTCAGGTTTCTGGGCTCAAAACACTGCCTCGAAAAGCTCCTTAACAAGGTTGAAACTCCTAAGATACCTCAACGTGTGGTAGTATACACGGATTGGGGCTCAAATCCGAGATACTCAGGAAAAACCCCGGAAAAGAACGACGGAAAAAGATACCGGCTTGGGTAAGAGATTTGGGAGCGAAGAGGAGGGTTACGTGAAACCTCCAAAGACCGCCAAAGCGTCAGCCACCTAGTAGACAGTTGAAGTGCATAAGTGTGCCCATGGCAGAGTTTTTTCACGACTCGATGAGGAGAGAGGAGTTCTGACGGAGAGGGCGCGCGGTGTTGCAGCTGGGGCACCAGGATAGACAAGGAAATCATACAAACTTTTAATGAGAGAGTGGCCTCCTGTGAGGAGTCAAGATTTCAAGGTTGCAGTACCGCCCTGTAACAAACCAACAAACCCGTCACAATCCTTTCTTCGGCAACGACAAACAGTTCAGATTTGCTTAAAATGAGTGACAAAGTCGAATGAAAGCTTTAAAACTATCCAGCCGGCAGCATACACAAGGCCTAAAACATCGCAAACCCGGCGCCAGGAAAAATTAGAGGACCTCAGCACCTTTTATGCCAAGGCTCACCAGAACACCGCTCTCCAAGGTTTCAAGAACTAAGAGCACGAAACTGGGCGTTCGAACTCAGAAAGATGTTATATGAACTAGGACTGGACACACTGTGTACGCTCTGGCCGAAGCGATACGGACGATGGCATCTTCAGATTTCGAAAAAGGCATGAGTTAACCGAGGGTTCCACAACAAGACATCCGCTTTCTTGCTCCATCGTTCCTAGCTTGCATGACTAGGTTCGTGCTTCAGAGGAGCAAGAGGAATACAAGTGCACCCTGAGATGCGCCAGCGGCCTTCTCTTGAGACCATGTCTAGGTTCTCTTAAACGACATAGTCACTAACCGAAGAAAGTGAAAGTGAGAAGGTCCAGAAATGAATGGCGCGAAAGACCGCCAAACACGAGGGGAGAGATAAAAGGGGAGGGCGACATGGAGCGAAGGGAGTTAGTTAACCTTGAGCGTCCTCCGAATCGGCTGCCGCTGCAATGGCCGTCAACTATTTGCACATGCAAACACACCATGGCGCTTCCCTTGCTCCGGTAGGAGGCAGCTTGGAATCCCAACACACTGAAATCTCAAGAACAGCCTTGAGGTGCCAGACTCTAGAACTCAGGGGAAGCTTGCTAGGCAAGTGAAAAAGGCTAGATGGCGTGTAGTGGAGGGTCCCAGCTGCGACGCGACCTCAGAGCCAACTTCCTGAAAAATCTTCACACAGTACAGACAATACAAGTTTGCTAAGGGACAGCCGACTAAAACAACTCACGACGGAGGACAACACCTCACCGTAGCAAGGACACTCCCCCTCTCCTCCCACCCATCCCTCGGCGCAACCCCCTTGATCAACTCTCTCAAGCTGCTCTCAGAAACCTCGAGATTGAATCACCGTGAGGCCCCCCTCCCCTCTACTATATTTATTTTACAGGCCAGTACAATAAAATCCAGTAGCTCCGAAACCCTGCCATAAACTTAAATCCAACAAAAACTAAATCCTCCCAAACCAACTCCGAAGACGTCAACCCGTTTCCCTCCCACTCGCGGACAAAAACACAAAACTCCTACAGGGATTATTTTTTTCCTTCTTCTTCTTCTTCTTTTATTCAAAATAGCACAAAAATCGATACTTACAGTCATCACCTCAGTAAGCTTCACGCATGGGGGCACCAATCCCAACAACAAAACAGAAACACGACACTCCTACAACGTCCTCTAGCATCAGCAGCAGCAGGAGGAGGAAGAAGAGGGGCAGGAGAGGGACAGCAGCAGGGGCATCAATGCACTCACCACCACGCACAATGTAAGAGAGCCAAAACATGAGAATAAATAAATAATGAAATAGAAATAGCACACCTTAAACAGCAGACGAAATAGTGCAGGACTGGCCCACACAGTTTTGTTCTTCTAGTCGAAGGAGTCTCAACAGCAGCAGCAAGAAGAAGACGGTGCAGAAGAAGAAGCAGCAGAAGCAGAAGGAGCAGAAACGGGTGCGACCAGGACACCCCTTTCCCCCCCAACCCCCCCCCCCCCCCCCCCGCGTACCTGGGGACGGGAGGGGACAGGCGGGGACACACAACAAACAGCCCCGAACCCGAACCTGAACCGGTCATCCCCCCCCCGCCCCACGGGCGAACGAGCTCGTGGCCCCTTCCCATTCCGCATTCCCACCAAAAGGAGAGCCCAGGAATTCCAAATCCTTGTCCAAATCAGGTAATCCCGCCCTCCGCCCCGGTCATCCCCGCTGGATGAGCGTCGTCGCACGTCCGTCCTCGGACACGATCCCCTGCTCCCCTCCCCTTCATCCATCCATCCATCTATTAATTCATCCATTAATATATTCATCTATCTATTCCTCGTCTCTGTTCATTCGCTTTCGCTTCCCCCCTGGTGAGACGGAACTCACTCACTACTTGCACGTCCCAGTAAAAGACAAAAAAAATGTTTATTTACCCGCCCATTTCATGAGGTAATTTATTATTTACCGTCCAGGACAGGTGACTCACTTACTCCTTCCCCCCTGCAAACGTTCCGCCGTATACGTCATTCTCGTATATGTAGACTGACATCCGCGGCGGTACAGTCTCGGTTTCGAATTCGTATATATTATTCGTACGAATGGAGGCTTGTTGCTCGCGAGAGGAGGTGATTATTGTAGTGAGGGGTGGGGTGGGTGGGGGTCGAAATTCCGCGGTTATAGGGTTCAGCCGTGGGATGAGTTCTGGAACGTTTGTATTCGGTATCATTTTATAAAATGCTTGTAAGATTTTCAAGCACGCAGCTATTGCTTGGTATTTTGAAACCTACCATAATTGAACAACCATGATTGCATAAACCAAAAACAAAAACATCTAGCATCTGTTCAAACACACAATGATTATACTGAACAGGTGATGGGCACTTTTGTAATTTTAATGAAAAATATAATTTGAAGCATAAGGATTGGCTTTAAAATTATTGGATACGTCAAAGATTAGGAGAGACAAAGTTTAGAGCTCATGTGTCATGTGAGTGCTTGGTGATGTAGAAAGGATATTTGGAGATGGACTATGTCAAGGGATGATAGAACTAACTTAGTAGTAGCAAGTGTGTGATGACAAGTTCCTCATTCTAATCACTACCTACACACACAGAGACCTCTACCTAATTGGGGTTCCAAATCAGACTATAAAACCAATTTGAGAGAGAGTGAGATTCCACTGCAAGAGAAGAAATAAAGTTTCAAGTTTTCTGTGTATTATAAAAAGAAAAACAAGTGTTGATCAAACGAGGCATGATGGGAGCAGGGCAAGAGGTCCAGGCTGGTCATGGCAGTAAATAACGAGCATAGGAAAGTGAGAAACTATCTTTGGTTATATATGCATCTGCGATGGATAGATGGATAGATTAATGGATGAATGTCTGCCACTGCTCTTGATTCTTCTTCCCCCGCCATGCAGCCGACTGGTTGACTTCAAAATCATCCATCCCATGCAGAAGGAAGCTACAACTAGTTAGTAACTCAGCAATCAAAGCCCAGACTCTTTCTTTAGTGATAGTGAGAAAAGGAAAGAGCTCTCTCTCGCTCTCTCCAATAAACCCCTAAAATCCTACTGCACGTGCGTGTGCTCAGGTGGGGTGAGTCCCGTCTTTCACAAACCAGATCCAATTAAAATATTTCATCCCTATCAAATTCTCGACTGCGCAGTTATACATCCATGACCAGAATATTGAAGCTGCGGCTGCGAAAAGGGGGGGGGGGAGGGGAGGGGAACGGGAAGAGAGCCCCCTTTTGTGTTCCCTAAGAAGGGAGAGCATCAAGACAAGACTCCTAAGTTCTCTCCCATGTTCCCAAAAGCAAGGGGCAGCTTTATGAGAACAACAAAAGGGAAAGGAGGGGAATCCAAGCTAGCATTTTGATTCCACACAGCTTTTCATGGTAGCCATACTTGGTTGCAGAATGCTGTGTTTACACAAAACTATATATATATATATATATATATATATGTAACCTGTGTGCTATGCTACCCTCCATATAACTTCACAATAACTTTACAATATTGTGTTACAATTCTCTGTTTCATTGTTAAGGGTGATATGAATTTTCCTACTTGGCTACAAGCCTCAAGGTTCAATTTACATAATGTCATTAGTTTACAAAGTTAAAATGAACATACACCCATAGTTGATTGGTTCCACAAACATGCCTGTACATATTTTATAAACAAATTAATTTAAAAAGAGAGAAAAGACTTCATATATCAAAAGATAGGTATACCCCCAAGAAAGATAGTCTGAGACAAATATTCATGACATAATTGTTGATTAACAACATGATGTATGTCTCCCATACAACAATTTAATCAAAGTTCATGTTGTATTGGGGTGTTTTTTTGTTTAACTGTTTGTTTGCATTTGTCACACAATCTAGGATATCATACATGTCAAATTGTCAAACATATTGTTAATTTACCTGTTTATTAATTTTTTCCTTTAAAACATATATGGAGGAACAAGTTTATACCATGAGGTTAGTAGTTCAGATATTGCATGTGAATTTCCCAATGTTGTCTAATGGATCCTAGAACCAAAACATGACTTGCTAGTATTCAGAAATAAAATAATAATAAAAATAAAAGGATGATATTTTAATAAGCTTAACCCCACAATTTGGAGCTTAGATGAACTTGATGACTGCTTATAATAATAAAATAAATAAAAACCCATATTATTCACAACAGTTGATAAATTTATAATTTCTTGATTCAAATTCTAGTTGTACTTAAAGTCAATTGTGATTAATATTCTAATTCTATGTACAATTTCAAACATTCTATTTAGTTTCTGTACACAATATCCATAACATTCATGTTTTAATTAGATTTTTGTCTTCAAACATGATATTATCCAAACGTTCTTCAATTAGAATATGTTATTTTGGAAAGTAGCTACAAATCATCCTGAAAATCATGCTTCGTAAAAATATGTGATTTGGTTGATTAAATTATACTTTATTACGTGGCTTTCCTCTTCTTTTCTTTTTTTTTTTTTTGTTTTTTTTGTTTTTTTGTTTTGTTTAGTTTTATTTCTAGTGTCATTTTGAAGATGCTAAATAATGTTGATAAGAATATCCTTTTATTTTCTAGAATACTGTGCCAATTTTATTTATTTAATTATTTAAAATATGTAACAAGAAATAAAATGAAATGAAATGATCATATAGCATTTGTTAGTTTTCAGTTTGTTACAAGAACAATTTAAGTTCTAGATGGAATGGTAAGAATGTAATGCTTGTCTGAGTTACAATGTTAAGGTTTCTTTGTAGACTTGTCTATAAGATAAATTCTATAGCTGAAACAAATACAAATATATACATAGGTATTTGTGAACTTCTCTATTTATTTATTTTCTTGAATGAGTTTTCTTATCTTTATTATACACAAAGTATTTCTTTAACACTCAAAAAAATAGAACAAATAAAGTCAGTGAAGACAAGCTGCACAATAACAATTAAAACCCTGTTAAACTTGTAATTATGATATGCTTAAGCTTTTCAGAGGTTATGACCACTATGGCTTTGGGCACCAAATGGTCCAACTAGTATTTTCCTGATGGTCCCTCATTCCAGTCCTGGTTTCATAACTTATGTATAAATAATAACAATAATGATGAAGATATATATATATATATATATACAGCAATTCACTTGTGTACAGCACACTTGTCTTGGTAATTGTTTTAAATTAGTAGTAAAGGAACTATACATAATTATTTTTTAAAAATTAATTTGATTCTCTTTTGGACTTGATGAATGCAAATATTCACCATTACATAAAAATATTTTTTGAAATTAAAAATATCAAGTACATCTTCACTATCAAAGAAATTTATCATTTATTAGAATGAATTATAAAATTTAAAGTAGAATTACCAAAAAAATGAAGAATAAAATATTATCATGAAAGAATGAACCGAAAGTAACACTAGTAAAAGAAACTATTAAATAGTAAATTCTGAATACTGTTCAAATAGTAACAAACCACTACTTCATGCGAACATGCTTACTTATGGAAGTAGTTTAGCCCAAAGTTTTCCTCAAATACTTTATATATATATATATATATATATATATATATGAAACCTCAAATACTATATATATATATATATATATATACACACATATATGTATATACCAAAAAAAACAGTAATTAAATTAATTATTTTTTTATAAATCTCAATATAATTATTAAATTTTGTTTTCAAAAAAGTACTTTTTAGATCTGGAGTATGTAAGAATGTCATACTGAATTGACGAGTTTTAGAATAACTATGGATTAAAATTTTTAAATAAAACAAAAAAATGAAAATCACTAGATTTTATGCAATTTCTTATACAGGGTGTGGTATATTGAAAAAAACAGTAAAAGTATTATTGAAAAATAATTTAAATCTGTTATTTTTTTTTTGTGGTTATGGAAAACATTTTATACCTTTGGAGACCCTATTATTTTATCTAAATTTTATTTTAACATCCCGAACTCTTTTTCAAAAAACTGCATTGAAAATGTTGGTCATTACATTTCAACTAGAGATTTTCCTTAAAATCTTTGTTTGAAGATAGCTGAAAATTAATTGTA